ATATGTTACGAGTTGACCGTTCTGGTGACTGCCTTCATCAAAACTTGCATTATTCACGCAAAACAGGAAAATGTACATCCTAAGTTGGGGGAAGCACCCACTAACACAATTTTACTTGTCTGTGAACTCAGTGAAGAAACCATCAGCTATAGGATGAACACCCTAAGATAACTTAAGACTGTGGGCTTCGAAGGCGTAACACATGTTAGTTTAATCGTTAATGTCAGATATGTAACTAATGTAAATACATTTGTTCCTGCTCAAGATTAGATTCAACTTTATTGTTATTGCACATATTACAGGTACTGAGACAACGAAATGCAGTTTAGCTTCCAACCAGGAGTGCAACAAGCAGTAAAGTGAAAAGTAATGTAGGCCTACACAATCTATAGAATAAAATATAGAATGAATTGAATGATGAATAAACAGTGAGGGGTATGAATACACTAGATATACACAGCAGCCTGTGAGCAGTATGAACAGTGTGTATGAATATGCTAAGATATATAAAGTATGAAAACGGTAAGCAGTGAAAGTATAGTATAAAATATATAGATATTAATTTCATGATGATAAACGTGAATGGAAGTGGCGACGTAAAACTGACACAAAACAAGGCTATACAAATGGGGTCATCTGTCTTCTTCTTCCCAAACAACAAAATCAAGTCAGCCAGTTTTCATCAAGCATATCTCAAGAAAAGCACACACCCTAAGGTCTTCTTATCTTCATAACAGATGCAACAGAAGTTCTTCTGGTGCCCTGAAAACAAGTTTGAGGTTTAATTGTCAGGCAGCATTCCTCATGCAAAACAACAAAAATACAGCAACACATTCAATGCTTAGAACTGGAGACTTTTAGAAGTTACTTTTGGATTAAATAACTGTCAATTCCTCACTGTTCAGTATATTATCAGTATCCCCATACCAGTCCCTTTTGGACTCGGCTGTATGAGAAGCGGGTAGTGAATTCTACCAGGTGCTCAAATTCATTATCTAAACAGTTCACTGACTCATATTATTTATGTCAAAGTAGTTACATTTTCTCTTTTGAACTTGTCAAGTGGCAAAAGGAGAATAAAAATACATATTTCTTACCCGTGTCCAGCTGCGTTTGGCTCCTGCCGAAAGCCCCCATTTGATGAATAAAGAAACAGTCTCACTGATATGAGTAGTGGTGCCAAGAAACAGACTCTAACCTCCTTGCCACTAGCCTAGATACAGTACACACACTGATTGCAATGAAGACAAGGTTTTACAAATGAGTGTGTATGGCTCTTCTTAGCTATCAGTTATCATTAACAATCGAGTCACCTCCAAACATAAAAATGCTCGTATTTTAATTATTCATACACCAACAACCTCAAGAAATCCATTTCAAACGGAAAACCATTAGTCAGGTATACTCTGATGTAATTTGTTGGACAGGAACAACTTATTCGACAGAGATTTGAAAGAAATACAAATTTTCGCACTATAATGAGCTCAGCTTTAAAAGAAGATAACATAAATGATTATAATAAAATGCAAATGCAGTGCTCGCTCGAAAGCATCCCCATCCCGACTAGGCGGAATGCAATGCAAATGTTTATGGCAGCTTTCTTGAGAAGGGTTTATCGTATCTATACATGTCCACTAAATGCAGTTGCAATAGCCCAAAGCTTTTAGGAAATTCGACAATTTAAGTAATGCATGCCCTAATTGCCCTATCCACATCATTTGATCAATCCTTGGATCTCAGCTCTAACAACATGAAACTTCAAAAATCCCCAAAAGTAAAAAAAACGAGTTATGGTTACTAAAGTTACAAGCCAAAACGTAAAGATGGTTGTTATTGTGCCACTCGGCCAAATTGCATCACATTCAATATGGTGTACTTGGGACCTTGGATCTGTACTTTGGATTTGGGGGGTGTATCTCAAACTGTTGTTGAAAAATCCAAGGACAGAGACACAGACAGAAGGACTCCCTCTTTTATAAAGAACATATTTGTTTTGGTTTAACATGCCTCCACATGAGGGAGACAAACTCCTACCAACACCAACCCCCTATTTTTGTTGGGTTTGGAAGGAAAGAAAAAAAATGTAGAAATACATAAATATTTTCTCTTTGTGGAAGTCTGACACAAATCCAGAGCTCCGTTAGAGAGAGAAACAGAGAGACAATCCCAAGGAACGAGACAGACAGACACAGTGGGGAAGTGAAGACTTCTTTCCACCAGTTGAAAATAATGAGATCGGAGCAAAGGAAGGGCAAGGAGAAAACACCTCTCTCTGCAACACTTCAACTGTTTGTCAACTCTTTTCTTGACATGAAGTTGCTCTAAAGGGCAGTACGAGGAATTAAAGCAAGGAAGAAGAAACGACAGACACAGCAGGGAGACAAAAGCAGTAAACCTTGGCTGAGGTGAGAAAAAAGAAGTTGTGTGGGAGAGCAGAGGCAAAAAGAGAGAGCGACGAAAGGCAGGGGAGTGGAGGAGTGAGTCGCCCCGTTACTTCCAGCGAAGTGAGGGGAAAACAGGGGAAAAGAAGAAGAAGTAAGGATTGATAACGACTCAGGGAAGGAGGGAGAAGAGTCAGCTGGACATGGGGCTTTGTGCTGTTCTCCTCATCTGTCTCTCCCAGGCTGAGCTGGGGAGAGTCTGGGCTTATGAGCTTGAAGGTAAGCCTCATTCTTCAATGCCAATGTGCAGGTATTCAAATGTTTTTTTATCATATTAATGCCATTTTGACTGCATTTCTTCAGAATAGACAGCCTTCTAAAAATCTGGTTAAAATATTTAGTATGATCAGATTTCTTGCAGGTAACTGGCAAAAGGCAAGATTGGAGAATGTTTTTGGGCAATATTCTTTGGGGGTTGATATGCATCTGTGAAGTTAACAAGTCTCTTAACATTTCTCCCTGTCAGTCACAGGAAGCACATGAAAGACTGCAAATGTTTAGGTCTGGATTTTCTGAGGATCTCATTCCAAAAATGTCCTCTACTTAAAAAATAAACGTCTGGTGTTCATTTGCTTGAAAAATAATCAAATCATGTGTTTTGAAATCCTGCATTTTAGCAGTTAAATGTTTGAGATTAACCAGTCGTTTCAATTTTGATTGGTGCCATTATTCCAGCGGGCATTTTTATAAGTGTAGAAAAAAAAATGCAATGAGAGCAGCAGCTGAACTTTAATTTGGAAAGCTTGTGAGAAATTGTATTTAATCACCTAGAAATAATGTGCTTGGTTGCTATGTGCATCACCTGCATGTGTATGATGCCGTCTCTGTATGAGTTTATGCGCATGTATGTATTTTTGAGCTCCTTGGAGATGCATTATTTTTAGCAAGCCCCCGTTCTTCATCTGACGCTCCTCCTCTGACAATCAGTGGTGCTCCAGTTTCTCTGGCCTATCCTGTGGTCCCACTTACTCTGATCAGGGGCCGAGCTCTGCAGAGGACAACCCCGGAATACTGTGCACAGACCAAAGAGATGGACATTCTCTAACATAGGATAACTTAAAGTCAGGCTTAATGTCCACGCTCATCTTTAAATGCACCCAGGTGTCCCTATTTTGGGAAATGTTCCCTGATAACTTTATCTCAGTGCTTGCTCACACCATAAAGTGGAACAGCACTCAATAGTCAGTGCTGTAGTGACTTCCTGTGCTCTCAATCACTTTGATTGAAGGGGATGTCCAGTATGTGTACCATCCACTACTGTCTCAAGAATGTTTTCAGACCAGGTAATATGTAATTAGCGGAGCAGTCAATACTCTAGCAGTTACAGTTGCATTGCGGTCTCTTTTATCGCAAAAATCTCTGTCAACCCTGTCTGCAGGTTGCTGGTTGAGAGTTAGGAGATCAAAGTATTGACAATAACTTCTGAAAAGGACATGAGTACCTGAACCAAATATTATGGCAGTTGGAATAGATTTGACTCAAAACCACAAAGGTGAACCTGCTGGTGGCACTATAGAGTACAGGTCAACGGATAAGGTCTTTAGGATATATTTAAATTGGACCATGAATGTCTGTGCAAGTTTCAGCAAAAATTGCAATATGTCAATTTGTTTCAGTCCGAACTGGGAGATATACAGACATCCTTACATTGCATTGCTTAGGAAATCGATTAGGCGGCCATGTCTTTTTTTTCGGTTATAAAAGGGAGGCAGCAAATCTGTCACACCTCCCAGTCCCAGTACAGGTTGCATGACCGGTTCAGCGGGATACCAAGATCTCTATTCACAATGGAGCTTACTCAGCATGTCTGCATATGCAAGTGTTAAGGGAATAATTTATAACATAATCAGTTTTGCCATGATCATAAGTTTAAAAAGTAGGAGATTCCTGGCTCTGAAATACACAAGTCATGTTTATTTTTGGAATTCAGATCACATAAAATAAGATATTAATAGTGACCCTCTAAGCAAGTGTTTTCAAGTGATAGGAGTAATACCAAAACAACTTCATTCACATACATGGATTTTGGCTCAGATAGGAATATGCTTTAAACTGGATGGCATCTTCCCGAGACAATTTTGATCTGAATCATGGTCAATACCTGAATGAGCCAAAAAATACCATAACACAGATTCTCCTAAACCTTTTTACGTTTCCACCGAGAGACATCTTGAGTCTTATGATTTAAGCGAAAGGGAATATAAATAATTATACAATACCAACCAACAAAAAAAATGACAACAAATAGCCCAGTGATCTCATCGTGTAAAATGTTAGCTTCTTTAAAATAAAGGTTAATCAGGGTTATCAAAACCTCACATCTGTAAATCTGGCAGATGTGAGATAAGATTTCATACATTTTTCTGCCATTGCAAAAAATATAAAAGAATAACACTGAACAGGCAGTAAAATACAACTGTAATAAAGACCATGTGCAATATCCAAACACTTTCTAGCAGCACTAAAGATGAGTTCCAAGTGTAATCATAAAACAAATCAATGACAGTAAATTAAACATTTTATAAACTAGGCTTCATCCATTTGTCTGTATTTATCTAAACGCCCATTTTTTTCCTTTTCACTTCTGGTCCTTATCAGTCCAGCTGCCAGTATTTGTGATTGTGTGTTATGGTTACTGCTGTTTCTCCGAGTGAAAGGTGCCAAATGGCTTCTTCCCACGCCACAAGCTCAAGGCTGGTTTTAACACAGATCAGCTTATTTAAATTCAACCACAATAGAAACCGCTGGGCTAAATTGCAATGACACACACTGACATACATAGCAGTGATGTTGCACTTTGATTACTGTTCTGCTAATGATTTTTCTGCCTGAAGGCTGCAGGTGCCTTGCAAATCCTGACACCAATACCTCATTCACACCAACGGTGTTTCAGGGCCGGTTCGGAGCTAGAGCTTGAAAAGCACCAGGTTTTCCTCTTCACACCGCAGCAGAGCAGCCTCTTAGCTCCGGAATCCGGTTCATTTCGAGCACCAAAAAATTGTCCGACCAGAGCAAAAGCACCACATACCTCACGCTTACGTCGAGGCGGGGGCAGGGGCGGGATCAACTCCTGAACAACAACAAAAAGCTGGCGGTTTATCCAGTTTGTACACAACGATGGAGAAACTTAACAAGCAGCAGTGGTCCACTGAAGAGACCAGCTACCTACTGGGAATCTGGTCTTCCGAAGAGGTACAGGGGAAGCTGGAGCACAATCGGCCATTGTGTTGTCGGTGTCAGCTGTGAGGGGTTTCCGCGCGNACTGTCCAACATGGCAACAAGTAGGTTACAACACGAACATAAAACAACAGATAACACAAAAGGACATGGTATTTACAGGGCTACATGTACACCTAGAGACATTGGTCTCTAGGTGTACATGTAGCCCTGTAAATACCATGTCCTTTTGTGTTATCTGTTGTTTTATGTTCGTGTTGTAACCTACTTGTTGCCATGTTGGACAGTTTTTTTTTGCGGTATATTTTGTCAGTCTCACGACGGTATTGAGACATCTATTTACCGCGATATCGTGATATTGGATATATCGTTACATCCCTACTAATAAGTTGTGTAAGTGTGCTGTTTGGCAAGCAATCAAGAATAGTCATCTCACTGTATTCTTGCAGTGCTTCAATCAAATACAATTGTTGTTGTATGACCAATATATTAACACTAAAACCACAAAAATGTATAGGCTTTCCTGGTTTAAACATAGAAAATCAGGAAATGTACAATAATGCTTACTAGTCATAGATAAAACATGTCGTACAGGGGTGTGGTTGTACTGTGTCTATCCAATGTTAATAATTCCTGCTCCATTTCTCCCTGATGCTCATCCAGTCGTGAATATCTCTCCCTTTCTGTGTCCTAAGGCAAGGTGGCGTAAAAAGCACTGAATAAGCTCTATGCGTATCAGGACGCAGCTAGTCAGCTTTGAACTATACTTGTCTGACCAGTTTTTCTATGCTCATCAGCCAGCGCTAGAGAACTCTTATCCTAAATTGATTCTGTGCATAAAAAAATCTTTGAGGAAGGGCATAGACAACAAAGAGAGGACTGACAGCAGACGGGAGAAATACTAAGGGCATGTGAAAAGAGGCAAGAGAGGGGTGATAGATAAAATGGGTGAGAGGTGACAGTGATGTCTTGTTTGGCTGCGGGACAGAGGATCACATCTTAGATTTTCCCACGAGTCTTTGCACCTTATACAGTGTCAAGGCTGTGCTCAAGCATCAGTGTCTTCTGATGCTGCTGCTGAACAAGAAAGTGATGATTCTGCTTTAGTGTGAGAGCTGTGACTGAAAGGTCTCGGGTTTTATCCTGACATCAACTAATGTGATATGACAGGGTCCCTGGGCCAAACACTGACCTGTTACCTGCTCTGCTCACACCGAGCTAACAGCGTCAGCTACATGGATAAAAAGGAAAATGTGAAGTTTGAAAGTTCCTTGACTTTACAAGAGATTGTGCAATACATTCATATTAGATCATTTATAAGCACATTTTTTTTCACTTTAAGAATTTCAGAACTTTGAAGGCCTCAATCACCTTTTTACAGTCCCAGTATTTGTCTGCATGAATAAGTTGTGATATTTGGTGTGTCTCCTTGAAATAGCATTGAAAGTGGGGATTGTCAAAAACACACACACACACACACACACACACACACACACACACACACACACACACACAAAATGTAAACCTCTGCAACATTGCTGCCGTTTCTAGATTTTAGAAATAAGCTATTTTGGCAGTGAGTATTTTGTTCCACAGTTCAAACTGTTGTTATAATCCNCAACGCCGGCGGAGCATTCAATCTGCTTCTCATCGGCTAGCGTCGGCCCCCCTCCCAGAGTTTTCGAGGAAGTGTTAGCCCATGTCCGAAACCTTGAGTCAGAAAGAAGAACGCCATACACGAAAGAAAAAAGAGCGGAGGGCGCGCTAAAAACCCGAGCACGGTTAGCTGAAATTCCTACGTATGGTCTGTGGAGGAGCTCAGCCGGACTGAGCCAAACGGTACCAATATTGTGTTCTTACTGTACGTGATGCGATCCAAATTAGACAACCTAGACAGATCTAATAATCACAGAGATTCGAGATTTATGTAACAAGCAACGACGGAGTCCGTACATTCTAAGTTGAAATATACAAAGTAACGCGTATTATATCGTCAACCGTCGTGCTCTGTAATCGGTCTCCCCTCAACTCAGATTAAAAAGGGACCTTGATTACTTCCTGAAACAATTTAAACAACTGAAGAATTTCATGCGTCTGAGTAATAACCTTATGTAACGACCATCAAAAGGTTTGTCTGTTAGGTTGTAAAGTAAGCCATCGACTTCGGATAATGCTACTTTTCATAAATGCTTACTCGCAGGGAGAAGACAACCCCGACAGTTCTACGACTACACATTTTTTGTTTTCTTGTGTTACCCTCTTTTTTCTTCTATTGTAGTGCGACAGTACCCGAGCTAGGACACGAGCTGTCTTAGACTAACATTTACTATATTACTAAGAGAAGATATTCTCTCGTTTAGTTAACTGTTTGTAGACGTAATTACATATATATCATTCGTTACAAACCACATCTGATAATTAGGAACGTAAACAGATGTTAAAGTTACTACCGAATGATGTGATAAAGTCCTCACATTCATGTCTGTCTCACTGTTTTTTACACACACGCGAAGACTACGACTATTTAGAATCACATACGTAGCACGGTATATCAGTAACGGGCATTTGTCTCATCACACGCCTAAACTCCAGGATAAAGAACGTAAACGTTTGTCTCATGATTATTGTTGTCGTTTAGACCTCTATTCGTTTACGTAACTGAGAGGTTCGCGGTACCCCTCACGTTGTTCGGAAGCGCGTTTTTTGTCACTTATTCACATATATTCAACGGTACATGTTTCCTCGGAGTGACTTAGTCTTATTTAACCATATGCTTACTTCACAGAGAGGGGGTACTTACAAATCCATTTGGTCACCCGCTCTCGCTCGCGATACTTTTTGAGTCGTAAGCCATCGGCTACTCATTTATTGCTATCGTCGGAGAGCACTCGTCAGACTTAACAGTGTCCACCACATTACTTATCTACGAGTTCATAATACTATTTCACATAGACGTTTTGCCATTTCCGGTCGATCGACAATTACAGATATTGTATTAATTTTATCTATAAATTTATGACCAATCGGTACGATTACTTAGTTTGTAACACGCTTGTTAACCTACGCTTTTTTACCACTTACCTTCACCCGTGCATTTGACTGTGGTTTGTTGTTTGTTGAAACCGGCTCGGTTAACCCTCTCAAAAGCTAGTCGTCGTGCACCATTTTTTTGGTGTTAATTTAATCTTAACCCGCAGTCGACGCTCATGTATGATTAGTACGCCTCAGCAAAACAGGGTAGTTACGTACAACAGGCACACGAGGCCGACGCTCTCCACATCTGAGCGAGCGCGCGAACTTGCAGGCAGCAGGAGAGAGAGAGTTCCGACCGCCCGCAAAAACGAGGGCCGCCTACACAAGTTGCAGAGTAACACTTCCGCTCGTAGCAGGTCAGTCGTTATTGCTAGCCCCTTGGTTTTACTGATTGTAGTTACTGCGTGCTCGTTCATGCAGGAACGTAGCTTTTACGCGTCCAGACGGAGCGTTCCAGGAAACGAGAACCAAGAGTTGGTACGAGGAGTGAGAGTACTGTGTTAGTGATATTATCTATTTTGTAGACCCGCGCCGAGCGCTCTAACGCCCTAGACGCACAGAGCCGAGCGAAGACCCGCAGAAAATGAGCCTTCCGAAGAGTCATCTTCGACGTCGACACTCAGGTCGATCGATAAGACCAGGGCTTCTGGATCCAGGGGATTTGCAGACTGCGCGCGTCGCAGATGGTCCAACGGGGACCTCCCTTAAACGCCGCCAGGCACTATGCGGCCACTTCAACAAATCGCCCGGACGCACTCCATTTTGGATGTATCCTATTTCTTCTTCTCCTCTCCACTGCGCAGTCGCCCGAGATAGTAAAGAACGGATTAGGAGGGAGTCTTTGATTAAAGGCCATGTGTTCATCGTATGTATATTTAGTCGAACTTTGCGTAGACACAAAATCCTAAAAGTACTTCTTTGCATTATCACAAAAAGTCGCTTGTAACACCCTTTTTCGATGAACCCACCGACTCGCGGCCGGATAACAATAGAAGGACGATCTATATTCCCTCTTCGACATTCCTGACACATATTTTGACGGACCCGTGACACCCAAAACCATTGACATCCTTTAGTCGAAAAAACAACCCCTGATAACAAGTCGTCTAATTGTGTGTAAACCGAAGAGTTCACTCATAAATGACTTCGTTCCTACCCACGATAGATCAAATATGGGTTTAATTTCCTTTGTCGGCGAGTACAAATATCCTTCTAACTATACTAAAACCTATCACGAACCTTGTCTTATTCTATTTCGAAACTCGACTTCGAACTAGGACACTAATTTGTTATAACGCTACGACCTTATACAAAAACTCTAGATATAGTCCCATGAAGTTTGAAAAACACTTTCCAGGTGAAAACTAAGAATGATACCGCTAATGTTCCAGTTAACCAGGCCTGAGTTTGCGTCATTTCGACCGGATATATTTAATTTCAAACCTAACCTACATTAGATGGAATAAAACCCCCGGGGAAGACGCCATGTTCGTGAACGGACGAGCCATTTGCCGCGCTGGGCGGGACTATGTGTCTAAAAAAATTATTAAAAAAAGGGAAAAAAATTAAAAAAATATTACCCTGTGTCCAAGCCAGGCCCTAACTAAACGTCAAGGCAGCCTAGGTCTGGAAACCAGGCCTCCAAACCTTCCGACTGAAGATTATACCATAGAAACACGACGTACCAAATACAACGGACCTGAACTAAAAACAGTAGAGAGATATGAGAGAATAATTCGATTACCAAACAATATGGAGGTATTATGAAAGGGTAAAGATTTAGAAAATACTAGTGAAAGATTGAGTGTTCAACTTAGTTCACACACGGTGTAAACCGTTTACCAGGTGAGTCCCGAGGCCCGACAACACACATACCACCGACAGTGACCAACGTCGAGCGAGTTCACACTGTCTCATTCGATGTAAATGAGTTCTTGCAACATGAATCGCAAATGTTAAAAGACATTCTCGAGGAAAAATGGAAACACTGAAGCGGTCGTAAAAGGGTAACATACAACAAAACTATGAAGATGAAATAATTGAACGTACGTACAAACACGTACAACAGGGCGACACGTCGGAGTTGACGGATACGACGTTTTGGATTATAGCTAGAACGTACTTCTCTTAAAATCGACACGTACACGAAACTCGATCATTTTATTTGTATCAAGCGAACACATATCGGAGAAAATTATTGTTACTTAGAAGTGTTTACATTCGACGTAATACATACATGTAATTAGATGAAAAAATTAATATTAGAAATATCAATAGATAATTGTATGATTCCGGGGAGACTACTTGTATACGTATGTAAAAGACAAATAAAACTAGAGGGTATGAAGCAATTATGAAACTGGGACAATTTAGTACCCCAACGAGCTCCGCACAAAGTGCACACACAGACGCCAGTCCATTAACGAATGAAGAACGCAGATTATAGAGAAGTACCACTATAATGCAACGAAGGTGGTGACGAGAATTCAATGCTGAGAGTTTGAGGAACACCAAAGAAGAGCAAACCGTGGAACTTTGTCCTCTTCCATGGTAGAGCGCGGGAACAAGTATGAGCGACACACTAGTCTGAGCTCGTACGCTAAGAGAACCTTGTTACCAAAAAAAGAACCATTACAGAAAAAAGAAATGTTCCAGCGCCCCGAGAGCACCAGAGATGAAAATATGGTATTGCTCTCTCCTATCTCTGAGAAGGAGAAGCCAACATACACGATCCCTCTCACGAAAGCAAGAGCGTATTCTTATGTTAGTAACAGAATCAGCAAAAATGACGAAAAAGCGCCAAACACACAACATCCAAATCGAACGGTAGTAAAGACATTTACGCCGCAAAAAGCAACATAAACAAAAGTCCCAAACAACAAAAAGTAAAGTAATAAACGGTTCCACAAAGGAAACGATCATACACGACACAAAAACCGGCATACCAAATCGCCAAACGTGGACCGGCCGGTGGCATCGGAGCGGCGTGCGACTACGGGAAAGTACCTGGCACCTTAAGCGCCTCGATTCTAGATTAGGATAGGAGGGACGTGTACCCCACTTCATCTTAATTTGTTTAAATTACTTTACATGGGGCCTTCGAAAAGAAAAAACAACAGAAAAACGAAAATCGACCCGGTGGACTTTTTTTAGGTTAACACTTAAACTTACTTGGAACAACTATAGAACTTATAGTGTGATAAAACACCGCATATGGACCAAAGTCAAACATAAAGAAGGTTGTGTGTAACTCGAAGGTATCAGCAAGGATCAAGAAGGCTTAGAGTGAAGTAAATTAATGTCGATCCGTGAACATGTGTCGAGGTATGGTAAGTTTTCGTATGTGGTATTGTACCGTTCGTACTAAACGGCAAGGAAAAAAATAGGGTGAGAAGCGATCTCGGACTAACAAAGGGTAAGTACCACACCAACTCGAGTAGGACCTAAGAAACACGCCGGTTAGTAGGAAAGGTTTTATTTAACACAAAAAGTGTAGATGCAAAAGTGTGTGGACTTTAAGTCTAATAAGGCAACTAACTCCAAAATTTTTATTCATAAAAAACGGCTTCTTTTAAAATTAAGTAGTTGACACATGACATGGATATGGTCTTCGGTGTTAGTTTTCTGGTTTCCCATAACATACATTTGACAACGAGCATCTATATAGTTTAGTTATATTTCACAGAATTTTGTTAAAGACTTAGAGCGTCAGGTTAGGTCAGACCTGTTGCATTCCGTGTTATTTTGCTTATTTTACGTTAGACCAGAAGGAGAAAGCAGGAGTGTCTATAGCTGTTTCGTACCACCTACGCAAGCAAGCCTACTCTCTGCGTTTCTGCGCTGAGCTAATGCTAATGCTAATAATGCAATGCGAGGATAATAAAATGGCGGCTTCAGAAACGTTTTTGGGAGTTTTACGGGGCATGGTTTGCATTCCGCCCAGCCATTCAGACACAGGAACCTTTTTCTCCCACGAAAGTCCCTGCTCTCTAACAGGGACTGAAAAGGGGGTAAAAAAGGTTCTCTATAACTAATTTAGTTCCTGGGACTTTTTGGTGTGAACGCAACTAAATCGTAGTTCTCAGGAACCTTTGTGGGAAAAGTACTTGTGTGAACGCGCCTTATGTTAGGTAGAGAAGTACAATTTTTAAATATAAACTGAGGCAGTATATTTTTTCTCCTTTCTTGATGGAATTGTAACACCTATTGATAGGCTTCAGTCCTGAGACACATCTCAGTTTATCTCAGATAGCCAACAGAAAGATGTAATACATTAGTCGAGCAGCTGTGTGCAGCGCTCACTAAAAGCTTTGGGTTGTAAAAAAACACATGATATAATATTCAAGGACATGAGGTTATTGGCATCTTCCATTCAGAGGAAAAAAGAGAGTCTTCACTTCTAGTCAGACTAACCTCACCGGAGTCAGTTTGCCACGGTGTAGCAGAGGCCTAACGTCATTCAGTGTATGTTTACACTCTGGAACATAATCATAGGAAACTTAAAGTGAAACAGCGTCAGATCTCACTACTGTGTACTATTTTATTTGGTTAAACTCCAGTTAGGCCCCGCTGGATTATGAAGTCTAATAAATACAAAGTCGTGTTTTGTTTAGAGAGTCAGGCCAGCACTCAACTTTCCATCCAGGCAGCGGAGCATAAAGCAGACGTACAATAGGTAAACATTGGCTGGTCATGTGAACGGAGCAGCCGCAGCAATGAGAGTCACTTCTGTCAACTTTCTCAGACTTACTGCCTCAGATCCAGAACAGCAACAAGCTCTCTCAGCCAATAATAATGTTTCAACATTTCTCTCAGTTCGCTCACTTTGTACCCACAGCTCAGTGAAATTAGGGCCTTTGAAGCTGAAATCTAATCATTATTTTTAAGTCGCTTTTAATTAAAGAGACTGAATGTTATTTGACATGAGAAATCCATGAAACCCTTTGAGAGGCAGGGACTTGTTTGTTTTGTGTCTAATTATCTATACAACTGCTGACTTGTACAGCTGTTGGTGTTTTACTTTCCCCGGTGGCTTTGTAATATTTACCCTCTTTAATAACTTCAGTAGAATAATTACGATTACAAAACAAAGATCCCATTTAAATCCATTTTATTGTAGCACTGCAGTCTTCATTAAAGTTTGGTGCTCATGCAGTTCCAGTAAACTCTGAGACGTTAGTGAACTTTTAACAATTGACTCAACAATGTTACCATCAAAAGACCAGAAGAGCTCAACTTCACAGTTTTTATTTTAGTTGAATTATCCAAATATGTTCTTTATGATAACACTTTCTACAGAATCCTTTGACGGCAGTAAATTGTTCCTTCTCTAGTTGAGTTCAAAATTGTTAACTAGGGGCACATAAGTAATAATGCCAAGAAACAAGAACTACAACCATTTCTGGGAGCGGTCCAACATGATACCTAAAACAAAATGAAAATCTGAATAGTCTGTTTAACAAAACTTGTCATGTATCATACACTTGTGTTTATTTTCGGAAATAATCAAAAATCCAATGCTAAAATCCCATTTGTTGAGGGATGCTAAGGTTTGGCTTATTAAAACACATGATCCCTGCAGTACTCTATAAACAGAAAAAAATTATTCCAAGTAAATTAAATTTTATGTTTTAATGCTCACATCTCATATAAACTCATCTGATAACCTTTAACGAATGGTTGTTAGTTGTCTTTGTAGAGGGTCACAGGGTAAACTGTTGTGAAAAGCGTCAAAACAGCAGCAAATTAACGCTGAATCAGCTTCAAGAGAGCAGCTGACTCATTGGCTCAACTGGAACTCTTGCATCTATGCCTCCTATTCATGCATGTTATGTTCAGTCACATTTACTTTCATTACGGTACATTTCGTAATTTCTCAGTAATCCTTTATCCAGGCCTGCCAGCATGTCAACTCATTCCGAGCTGTTTACAATTACTTGTGAAGAGGATCAATATCTGCCTCCCTGACCCCCTTCTCCTACAGCGGTCAGTGTTTCGTACTCCGCTGCTCACATATAGTTGTCTCTGTTTTGAAGTTGGTGACTTATTTTGTACCCTCAGTGACACAGACACTAAGAGGCCAAATCAAACCAAGAGTCAGTCAAAAGTGAGTCATCCTTTCAGCTCCTGTACTTTTCACTTATGGCCCTGAGGCGGCCCTGACTCAAAGGCTGTCCTATGTCCACTATGCTTTCTTAATTAACGCTTTTTTATCTATCATGCACATATATGTCATGCTTGGTTTGTCCCATGAACTTTGGGACATGTTTAAGGTCTGTTGGGTAATATCAGAAATTACAATAGTCATACTTTCTTTCCTTTTTTTCTTCGTGCTAATTCAATTCTTTGCAAACAGTGCTATGGTTTGTTACATCTGAGTGTGTCTGCGTGGTTAGCGAGGAGGGCAGCGGCTCAGTGAGGGGAAGGATATTGGGTTTTACAAGGTAACTTTAGGGCCTATTTATGCAAACACCAGGAACAGTTACAGTTACCTTATCTCCCAAATCAATAAAAACACAGCTGCTTCACAGTGAGGCCAGGATCAATTCCACAAGTTTAATTAAACTGAATCGGCTCTGGTTGATCATGCACCCCTTAATACTCATAGGCTCCGTGAAGCATTTAAAACAATTTCTCGCAGAGGTGTCATTGTGTCAACACTGTCGATTTTTAAAAGTAGTTCCATAAAATAAAAAGCTATCATTCAAAACCCTTACAGTATGTCTTCAAATGAACATATTAATCCCATTTAGTAGCAAAGCTCCGGTATTCATCATTTAGAGCAGGGGTGTCAAACTCAATTTCATCACGGGCCACATCAGCATCATGGTTGCACTCAAAGGGCCGGTTGTAACTTCAAGACTATATAAATATACATATATAAATATATAATATACATAAAATAATGTATTATATTACATGATTACCTCTGCATTGGATTATTATCGGATAGGGTAATAACTTCATAATTAACTACGTCTGAAAGCAGAAGTCTAGGGCAAATAATTGCAAGTCTCTTCAGTGTGCATGTCACAAAATGATTTAAAAAGAAAAACCAAATTCTGAAGAAAAAAGTCTAATTTGAGATGCATTGTGGGGCGAGTAGTTTATGGGCAATATGCTTCTGTAAAGCGGCATGTAACTGTATAATACACATATGATATTCTTTGCAAGCTCTTGTGGGTTTGCATGAAATGAAGTCGCGGGCCGGATTTGGCCCCCGGGCCTTGAGTTTGACACCCCTGCACTAGAGGTTTCTCAATACTCAAATTTCCCCTCCTAGACTCCTTTCCTCGACTCCTACCCTCGAGACTTGGTCAGAATTCAATCCTAACCCTAACCCTAAAACAGAATCAAATCTTTAATCAAACTTCTAAAAGTAAAGTGAAGTTGTTTCTCAAAATACAAATTTTAGGCTAAAATAACTGCACTCTCCCTCCCATCAGTATTGGCACCAAACTAAAAACTTTTGTGGATCATCACATATCTGTTACTAGTTAAACTGCATAAACAATGAGGCCGGATAAACAAAACACTGATTTAGATCTGTTTGTCTCTGGATTCTAGTATTCTCATCTGATAAGAATCTCCAAGGGAAAGCTTGAGTCTGCTGGAGTTCAGCTCTTTCTGGCTTTACCAGTTTCTTTTCACAAAGTCTTTCCTCAGCTCATTCCCTCTTGCTCTCACCCTCTCTAGCCCTCAATGCTCAGTGTGGGGCCGGCACATTACCATAAGATTTACAGAGACTTTTAAAGCACATTCCCCAACATAAGGGTGTTGTTGTGAGCATGTAACAACCTCATGGCTGTGTTTGGGTCACTTTAAGCCCACTGCATTCACTTCAACTTGTACACACATCACACACTTGGGCAGCAAAACATACCCCGACACACACATAATAACACTAACAACAACATGCTGTTCTGCTCATATTATTATCACTCATGGCTACTACTACTTAGGTTGTCCATTCCAACCAGAATCTGTATGTTATGTCAATATATAATTGTATTTTTATTTACCACTGCAACACAGAGTATTCTACAATGTTACACTTATTTTATAAATACTGCTTACTTACTTATTTTACTTCTGTTTGTAGTTCTGTACATTTTTATTTTATTTTTATTTATACTATGTGCATGCCTTTTTTAATCTAATACTATATTTTTCTTCTCTATCTAAACTGCTGTAACATGTAAATGTCCCCCTCTGTGGGACGAAAAAAGCAATTCTGACTCTGATCGCACTAACATGCTGAACATTTACTTTACAAACAGAAAAGGCACAGTATGGATTTGTACAGTGTCCTTGACTTTATTTTGTCTTGCGCAGCATTTCTCCGTTTCCTGTCCATCCCTTCCTCCCTTCCTCCCCTACCTCCCCCTTCTCCTCCTCCCCCTCCCCCTCCACAGGAGTGTTGTTGAATGACAGTCTCCCATCACGGAGGCTTTCTGACAAATGGGGCCAAATGGAGTGGTGCCACTGTTGCTGCTGGCCGGCAGTCCACTCTGAGGTTATTGCTGATCTCTGCTCTCACTGATATTTATATCCCACATCTCCAGACTAGTTGTAAGTGTTTGATTCACTTTTCATATGTTGTCTCCTGTGTGGACCTCACAGCTGCTGGTTAGCAATGTACTGTGTTTTCTTACTGTAAACTACTGTACTGTGTATTTGTGGGAAATGTCATTTTCTATTTTAGTGTTATAACAGTACAGTTGGAAAATGCGGAATCCTTTTTATATTTGAATTCTGTATGACATGACTTGATTTTCTACATTTTATTGAATTTCATTTAAATAAAACAAATTTGAATAGTTTTTTTTTCCTATCAGAACCTTTTTTTATTACTGAGGATCAAATAAGATTTGGTCAGGAGCAATGTGTGCGACTACCTGAGTCAGTAATGGCCTGTTTTTCACAATAAAGTCTTCCAAAATAACTAATCGTAAATATTGAATATTATTAACCATAATTACCCTTGTGGTTTGTAAAAGGTTCTGTCCAAATGAGAGCATTCACAGAACTGTAAATTGAGCATGATTTGTATTTGACTGTAATCTAGATGAATCAATATAAAGAATAAAGAAAGAAAATCCTGCATGTTCTAGATCTGAGGCAAATAAAGGAGCAGGCTTTTAACAAGGCATACAAAATATTACAAATGCGAAAGATATTAAAAAAATGCACTGATCAGGTCCTGAATGTGTCAGTTGCTTCAGGACATGGACAGGGATACATTTATCTAATTATGGAGAGTAATATCAACACGTCCTTGACTTGTTACAAGGACCACCTACACAGGTTTGAAGTAAATACATTTAGCTCGACAAAGATTCCAAACATAGACCCCTGAGGGATTCTTTCTCTCTGGTATTCTGCGTTTTTATGGCTCTTCTCATCCAGCTGTTTCTTTCTCATTTCACTGTCGTTCTATCCATTATGCAAATAGCCGCACTGCCACAGCAATCCTCTTGTGAGGCTGCATGGTTAAGCCCAAATGTATGTGATGAGTGGTTTTTTTTCTTCTCCGTCTTCAGAAAAACCCACAATTTTTTCACAGATAAAGTCAAATATAGGCATGGAGGCAAAATCCCATCACAAGCAGCCACTCAAGATCCTTATGAAAATAATTCTAGAGCCAAGTGTGAAATGCATCAGGATGTAGACACAATCTGGATCCATTCATGGAAGATAACAAGCAGTGACAATGCGCTTAACATTCAGTACTTAGGAGGAGGAAAAGCAGTTTGTTTTACTAAAAGATGTTAAGGTTGTGTTCAGTTTTAAGGTCAGGATCATCTAACGCACAATTGAAGAGCTAGTTAAATAAGAAAAGCCTCTGCCACATGTATGTACAGCCTGCCACAGACATTCTTTTCCAGCACAACTAATCGAGTGCCACTTGCGTGACCTCTGAAGGAGCATGACCAACAGCATGCCATCAATTATTTATACTTATTTAAAACTCTTGTGATTATCCTAGAGAAGAGAATTTTACTGTACTTCTTCATTCTCGCCCATCTCATAGAATTGCTTTCAGCTGCAGCAGGCAGTTGTTTGAGTTATTTAAGTTAGTGACTAGCTGCTAAACATACAGTGGAGCACTTAGAGTGACTGGTATTTACCTCGTGAATTTTTAGGGACCGAAACAGAGCTAAAAGAGAGTGAAAAAGTACCAATACGCATCAGTTGGCTGGAACACAACTCTCAAACTCAAAGATTTGTCAGTGTTGTGTTCACAACTTATAGCTGCTGCTCCCAAGTGTTGTAAACACCCTGCAACCGTTAAATACCCCCTTTAAAGGATAAGGAAAAAGACAGAATTACAAACTTTACCAAAATGTCTGTCCAACATAGTTGTATGATCTAGATTTGCTCAGTACAGAAACAAACAATGAGACAGGCCTGCACAAAACATTTTACAGACTTAACACCATGTTTTTATCAGCCTCTAAAGCAGGGGTGTCAAACTAAATTTAATCGGGGGCCACATCAGCATTATGGTTGCACTCAAAGGGCCGGTTGTAACTTTAAGACTATATAAAAATACATCATATATATAAAATAATGCATTATATTACATTATTGTCTCTGCATTGGATTATTATCGGATAAGGTAATAATAACTTCATGATTAACTACGACTGAAATCAGAAGTCTAGGGCAAATAACAATGTCTCTTCAGTGAGAATGTCACAAAATGATTTTAAAAGAAAAGCCGAATTCAAAAAAAAGAAGTGACATTTTGAAAAGAATAAGTGACATTTAAAAAAATTAATTACCGTAACATTAAAAAAATAAATCAAATTCTGAGAAAAAAGGCATATTTTGAAGAAAGAAAATCTAATCCTGAGAAAAAAAGTCAAATTTGAGATACATTGTGCTCCATATATATGGGCAGTGCTTCTGTAAATCGGCATGTAACCGTATAATAAACATTATATTTTTTGCAAGCTCTTGTGGGCCACATAAAATGAAGTCACGGGCCGGATTTGGCCCCCGGGCCTTGAGTTTGACACCCCTGCTCTATGGCATGACTTTTTATTTTGGGAGGAAAAAAATGTTTCACCATGTATTTTAGGAGCTTAGGGGTCCCTGATATTATATCAAGTATACAATTTGACCCCCCCACACCCCTCAACCAGGGGTTGGTTTGTTGCCTCAGAGCAACAATGTGCTACGAGGGTATTGAAACACCAAGGATTTCTACAAATCAGAAGAAATAGACTCTGTATGAATTAAAAAGATTTTGTGTGTGTGTGTGCGCGCGTGCGTGCGTATGTGTATATTTCTGCGTGTGTCTGTGCATGTATGTCTATATATGTGTGTGTATGTGTATATGTGTGTGTGCATGTGTGTGTATGTATGTCTATGTATGTCTATATGTGTATGTGTGTGTGCATATCTATGTGTGTATGTATGTCTATGTGTGTGTGTCTGTGCATGTCTGTATGTCTATATGTGTCCGTGTGCATGTGCGTGTGCGTGTGTCTAACCCTATCTTGGCCTTCACTGTCCTCACTGTCAGACGGAATAGCCCTAACAGCCTGATCGTGTCCCTTCTGCCCATAACATGTGTTGGGGTCCATTTCCTGTAAATATCAGTAGATGGTAAAGTAAAAACATTGACTAGGTTTATCATTTTTTTCACAACTGGGACACAACGTGCAGACCTATTTACATGTGAATGAAGCCCATGGAAAAGGACCTCTCTCTGCTTTGCCCTTTTTACTTTCCTCCCTCTCATCTCTGCGTTGCTCTAAACTATGTGCTCATTTTTATGCCGGATAAAAGAGATGGCTGCATTTAAAGAGATATTTTCTCAGTTTATTCCTGAGAGAACTGTTCTGGGCACAGATGTATCAACAACAACTCTCGATGTGCATAATAAAGCTAAAAATGTAAATTGAGGTCATATATCTGACTATTGATTTGGTAATCTAGTGACCACTTGAATATTAGCTCTTCTGGTAGAAATGTAAGTAAGAGCAAGTGTCCAGCATTAGCAACCATTAGCTGTCTGAAGATGGAAACAGGAAAAAAGTTGCTAAAGTGTCTGCGCCAGTGCGCCATAAATAGTGGTGAAAGCCCCCCCTGCATGAAACAGACTCCATTGGACCCTTTTGTTGACTTCCGTAATATAATGACATCACTATGCAACACTCGCGCTTCTATTGGCTAGCGCTCCAACACATCTCCAAGAGGTTGACAAATCACAACAGAGCCGGCCAGCTAACCAATCAGAGCAGACTGGGCTCTGGTTTCAGACAAAGGTTGAAAAGAGGCACACAGGCAGTATGAGAAAAATAAAGAGCTTTTTGAACATTAAAGCATGGAGACATGTCCCAGTAGAGACACTAAATACAAAAATGGACCTGGAAATGAGCTTGATATGAAGAGTGTTTGCATCAAAATGTACTTAAAAGTATAAAAGGTAAACTTCCTTAATCCGGATTGGCTTCTATATTGTAGAATATTAAATCATATTCATAAAAAAACATTTTAATGTTGTAGTTTGTCAACACCGAGACTATTCTTTGCATTTGATTGCATAAAAGAGGTCATGCTGCATTATATGATGTAATTTATTCAGGTGTGAAATGACTGTAGTGGAGTAGAAATTATAACATTTGAAATATATTAATGCAATATCTGCATGCATGCGTGTGTGAGAGTAAAAATGGATGCATGAGGAAGTTTGAACTGTTCCTTAGGCTTGCCTGATGTGAGCTTATAGTCGGATGATATTAGATTATTCCTCTTCCTACTTCCACTTTTCTATTTCTATTGAACCGTTAGCAGGGAACTTCTGTGGCGGTGAGCTTGAGAGAGGCTGCCGGACTGGTTGAGAGGAGAAAGTCATCAATCACTTTTTGAAGTTTAAGTCTAAGTTGGGAAACCTTACTGTGGAGGTGAGAACATTCTCAATGTTCTCACTTATTCGTGTAAGATCATAACCAGAAGCTCCGAGCTTCGGGAGATGGATTAAAACGATGAAATGTAGCAGTTCTCTTTTTCTTTCTTCGCATCCCCTTCTCCATCATGGCAGAGAGCCCAGCGCATAAAGCGGTGTGGCTTATACGCTGGCTAAGAGAAACATCTTTCTCCTGGAAATATGTTCACTGTTGGTTATTCACATTCTTCATCAGCAGCACAGCAGAGTCCTTCCCATCGGCCATGAAGACAAAATACAGTTTTTTCTGGCCTAGTTAATAACACACCACTTTCTGCCTTTTAACTATCTTGTTTGGAGCAGAGGAGGAAAAAAGAGGCAGTGGAAAATGAGGGGGAAGAGAAAGAGTGATCACTCTCACCGGCCTACAGTGCAGGCTTGATCCCCCTGGATTTATTTGTGTACATAACTCTTTCTTTCTGTCTCTCCCCTTCTCTTTCACTCTCCCACTTTCATTCTTTTGTGCCGCTCTGTGTCTATAACACAAACACCCACATGGTGCTACCGCTACCCAGCATGCAAATATACAGATTCACATAACCATCAAATTATCGTGCTGCCTTTGAACAGAAATGCTACACCCACGTCTTTTACAGATGCCACAGTTAATTATTCCATTCAAAGAGTGAGAGGAGAGCTTCCTGCGCCACGACGCTCGCATCAAATCAGCCGGACGGAAAAACAAACCGAGGACGATGCAAATTCCAGAGAAACAATTGCAATTTGGAACTTTTTACAAGTTTCTAATGCTGTTAAAGTAATGGTTAAAAGGTCACTAGAGCAAAAAGGCTGTTCAATTCATCACATTGCCATGTAATACCCCCCACCCCTCGACCCCCTTCCCAGCAGAACAGACTGAAGTCCCATTCATCTGACCACAGAGGCCCTAGTCAACAGCTTAAGAGCCAAATGGAGAGCCTACTCATAGTAGCAAGCAAACAGGAAAAACCATGTGACCAGACTGCCTTGTTCTCCAACTCGCCCTTTAACTTTTTCCACAGAATCAGATCTAAATCTTTCCATCCCAGCCGGGCACTTCCAATCTGACTCACCGTGCTGCGTCTCGGGGTGGGTGCTGGTGTCAGGCTCCATGTTAACTTCTCAGTGTGATGATCAGATCAACGCTCCCATATCCTGAGGCAACGTAACTGAACTACAACTACTGGCTTGTGTCTGCTGCCGCCGCCACTGCGCCCCAGCTGTTCTCTCCGGACAGAGTGTGGCCCTGCCAGCTCAGCTTGTAGCGCTGCGTTACATCTGTCTGACTGAGCCCCTCTCTGGAGAGCGGAGAGAGAGAGAGAGAGAGTATGACAGAGCACGGAGAAGAGGGAGGAGAGAGAGGTTTCCACATTGTGGCGGTGGAGAGAGAGAGAGAAATATATGGGTGGAGTGGCAAAATGTTTCCACTTTGATCAATTTTAGATACTCAGCATTTTTTTTTCTCGTCATAAAAAGTGGCTAACATCAGTTTGGAAAACATTAACATGGCAGCAGAATTTAGGAACTTTATTTTAGTACTGCATCCTGGACTTTACCAATATGTGGACCCTGACTGTGCATCCTGGCATGCTTTTACTCACATTTCAATTTGGCACAAGCTTCCTCTGCTGACCTGAATTTACAGCTTGAGTGGAAATGTCAGATTGGGGCTGAAACTATCAATAATTTTAATTTAAAATCCAATAATTCAGACAATGACCCAAATGTATGCACTTGATAATGATATAAAATAGAAATTCTATAAATTTTGATACTGGACTAAGAAATGATTAGCATTTTGTTTTGGAGGAGTAATTGATTACGAAAGTAGTTTCCCTATTTATCTTTCTACTGATTGACTATTTGTATAAAGGACTAATTGTCCAGCTCTAGTTAAAGAGGCCCTATTATGCTTTTGGGGGGTTTACCTGTCCTGTAGTTTGTTGTATAGGTTAAGTGCATGTAAATGGTCTGCAAAGGCGAAAATCCCTGTGTTTCCTCCAGAGGGAGTCTCTCTCCCACACACTCCCCTTCCTGCCTGTAGCGCCTCCATTTAACTCCTTTGTGTACTTCTGTATCATAATGACATCACTATGTAACACTTGCGCTACTATTGGCAAGCACTCCAACCCAGAGGGTGATAAGAGGTGCTGCAGCACAGGCAGTATGAGAACAAAAATGAGCTTTTTGAACATTAAACTATGGAGACATGTCCCAGTAGAGACACTACATACTGATATGAAACTGAAAATGAGCCAAATAGGGCCCCTAGGGTAACGTGAAAAAAACTAAGAGACTGAACAAGGAATACTGCAACTTATCCTCAGAAATATGTCATTGCAGCATTTACATTGACTGTTTGATTATACTCTGCTAATGCTGTCTTCAGTGACAAAATACAGCCAACTATTACTAATTCTCAAAATGTATAAATAATTGTAATAGTATATTCTAAATCCAGGGAAGACACAGGTAAACAAGACCTTGTTAAAATATACATCACAGGAAATGTTGAGGCGCTTAAAAAATATATAAGCAACAACAAGTATTTTGGCTACAAGGCATGTTCAAATCACTCTCCAGCCTTTGGTCAGGTATCCAGTTCTAGTTAATCCTATCCTAAGTGTTGCCGCTTCAATGTAAATATTTACAGCAGAAAGAGAAAAACTAGGGAGAAAATAGGGCAGTCTATGCCCTAGCATCTTCAAAGAAGTTAGGCGAGAACCTTTCCAAAGCAGCATCAAAAAGAAACTTTTACTTCAGAGAAATTAAGCTAAGCTGTTCAGGTGGGAGCAAAACGCTCCGTCGTTAGCATGTTTGTGCCAAACCGCGACGATTTGGAAAGAACAGAGGCGGCCGGCGCTCACTATTCACACAGAGGATGAGAGCCCTCTGCTCTCTGATTTGCTGTGCATTCCTATTGATCTCTCTGATTTGCTGTGCATTCCTATTGATCAGAGTTCTCATTCATAACACTCCGTTCGATGTCTCACTATGGGATGCGCCTCAACACGTATGCAAACAGAAGCATCAATCTCATTACGCCAATCCTGATTGGCTGGTGATCTTGACGTCTACGTCAGGGAATCCACCCACCCTTTAAGTAGCTTGCGCTACGTCGCAGCGTCATTAAAACACCTCTTCTCGCTTCAGAGCATATCTCGAATATCAGTAGCCGGGCTAGCTTAACGGTCAACAGACTGAACCCAAGCTAACATTCGGTCGACGGGCGCTTGCCGGTTACTTTTTTTGCTTTGCAGAAGAATTGAACAAATATTAACACACCAGTTAATATTGTAATCTGCCCCGCCGTTTTTTCTTTCGAAATAACGGTAAGGTTTGATTTTTTTCTTCAAACAGTAACATACCTGTTGCTAGTTTATCCCTCTGCGCCGACTCCACGGCGAGCAAGGACGGACTCTTCTCTCCCTCACACCAGAGGAGACGGAGGTAAGAAAGATATTAACACACCAGTTAATATTTTTTAAAGGAAAATCTACCCCGTCGTTTTTTCCTTTCGGAATAACGATAAGGTTGTTTTTTTTCGGTAACATACCACCGACACAACAGAACAGGAGTGGATCCTGTACTACACAGAGACTCTTTTCCGTACTTTCGCACACGCTCCCACCTCTTTGTGCCGTTGTTCGAGTTCTACTTAAATACACACTGGCAACCTCCAGAGACGAGGTCCTGGGGGTGTCCAGGTGGGGAGGATAGTAGGGGGGTCGGGTATGTCTGTACCCAGACACCACTGTTGGAAGGCGCTATCCCTGTCGGTGGGTATCGGTGCGGGGCATGATCTTTCCAGCCCACGTAGGTCACTCGTCACGGTAATGTGTAAAGATCACTGGTAGTGAGGAGGCGCGCGGCGTAAACATACGTGTACACCAAGGAGAGGTCAGACCCGGTACGTGGGGGGCGGCCGAGGGCTTAGGACACCAAAGTAACACCGACTACCGACTGCGTACTAGGGGTCATTGGGGCGTCTGTACTAGACTTCTCTGTATAAAACGCAACCCCGACCTTTACTCCGCCCTCCCGTTCGGGAAACTTCCCGAAAAGTGAGGTAGACAACTGTCCGTCCGACATTTCCTGTTAAGTCCGCATCCGGGTCCTTCCATATCAGACCCGACCCCCCCTTGTTGTAACGAGAAATAATGACGACAAATAATGCTTTTTGGGTCAGTCCGGTCCACAAAATGCTTGTAAGACACCGCCAAATTAATCGGAAGACGAGGCTGAAGGTCCTTTCCTGGGTTAGCCAAGGTCTATTCAACGGTCCGCTTATGGGACAAACAAGAATTGCCGATAGCGCCGGAAGGCAATGTGGCATGTTTATGAGTACCGCGACTTCTCTAGTCTGGCTTCCCTTCTGAGACATGAGGCAATTGTCTGTGGGACTTTCCGTCTTGGAGTCTATGAAAGGACAAAAGCCTAGATATGACCCTAACCTTTATGCGGCCAGAAAGTCCAGCCTGACTACAACTTGGTTGGCAAAACCACGTGCTCTGCGTTGTCTTCCCACACTCACTCGTAAGACTTTAAACATAGAAACTTCTATAAACAAGTCTCGGGAGTTTTCAGAGTAAATCCCGGCTTAAGGGCCCCCCAAAAAAGGGGGGAGGGGCCAAACCCCTTGCTCCTTTAATGGAACTTGTCGGCGAGACCTGAGACAAAGCATCCCATAATATCTATATCGGCAAGAAAAGATATTCGCTCTCTTAGAGAACGGGAGATCTTATACCCCCGGCTGAGAGAGGCCGAGAACCGCTACGTCCTACGCGGCTTTTCACCTCCCCCACTGTCGGCTTAACCTTCAGACATGGGCAACGATAACAGAACCGTCTTTGGGTTCGTCTTAGACACGTCGTAGGGGGTGAAAAGCGAAGAGTTTCGCTGCACCCTCTACAGTGTAAAGGGACAGCAGAACGCGGAGACACAGATAAACAACACAATACCGCCGGGGAGATCACAGACTTTTGTGAGCCCACCATGGGGTTCAAACCTGTTAGGGCCAGCTGTGACGCGTACGCGCACCGCCACTACCCGGAAGTGTCGGGGGCAGGTAAGCAGGCGAAGACTCCTTCCTCCGGTCGGTCCGGTGAGAATCTTCCCCCCATCGTGCAGCCTGACAATAGACAAAAAAAATACAACAAAGAGGAAAGTAAGAAATAACTGACACGGGCCGCGGGAACCGAAATTCGGACCTTTTGATGTCACCTTTTTAATAAATAATTCCTTTGGGTTATCACCTACTGTACACCAACCCACACTGAATTGTGCCTCGGTTCCCTCCGAACGAGAGAACTACAATCGAGATAAAGGGGAGTACCGCGGCTTTGAACCTCCTAACTGCAGACTGTAGTGAAGCTCGCCCGCCCTTATACCCCCCGTACCCAACGTGGGGGCCTTTTTGTGTACTCGTAGATTGTACCTTGCACAAGACCTCGACCCCTTCTTGTCCCTTGAAAGGTCGGAGAAAAATAGTTTCCTCTCCTCTCCCCACAGTTCCGGCGGGAAAAGAAGAAGGAGCAGACCACCGACTTCAGACCTGGCCGACACGTACTCGCCGACGACCGCCTTTGGCCTCTGAAAGAACCGGTCCGAGCAAGAGCACAGACCACGACCTCTGGGCCCCGCCCGACACCCGGAGACGGGCACAAAGCCTAGAATTTTGCCCGTCCTCATCCGTCGGACTCGCTTCTGACGGGCACCTCGGCCAACTTCCCGCCGCCGACCTGGGAAAGCCCCTTCTGCGTTTGCGACCTCTCGGAGTAGGAGAAGAAAACCTAAGTGTGGCGGCCGACGTAGCTCGATCTCGCCTCGGTTTATACGGGAGCCCCTTGTTTATCCGTACAGGTTCTGCAGGAGAAAAGGGCCAGACCCTTCCAAGTAAGTCGGCAAATTCGGTGGACCGGAGAGAAGGACGGAATGGTGGTAATAGGGGTCGCAAAACGGGCACCGAACTGACGTGTCGCGACGGTGTGCGCTCCGGTTTACAAGGCAACTAGCCGACGCTAAAGCAGGGGTGGCTGCCGTTTCCCGAGTCCCAAACAAGCAGTACAGGAGCGTCTCGAGGCGGACCATCCGCCAGTCGCGTCGCTCCCTCTGCAACTCGCGGGAACCGCCTGTTTCGACGCCGAAAATATCCCGAGCAGCCGAGTAACCGGGACTGACCGTCGGCAATGGCGGAAACGGCCATCGGACCCAAAGCGACGAGCCGACGGGCTTCGGTCCGGCGCCACCTCCCAACTCTCCAATCCCGACGGTGGTCGCCGAGGTACCCGCCGTAGACACCCTCGTTCCGGCTCGAAGAGTACTGGCAGTAAATCAGGTTTCTCCTCCGTGCGGGACCTAAACCCGACGGACAACGACCTTTCCCGCCAGAGTAAGGTGCTACCTGGCTGGCGAACAGGTCGTAGAGGACTTTATCGACCCTCTTCGACCCGGAAGAAGTAGGGAGCGACGAACCCCGTTCAAAGAAGGGGAGTAATCGCTCTAGACCTCCAGAGGAACCGGTGAAAAATCCGAGTCCCCTGCCAGGTTTCGGACCTTCGTCGCGCAACCTGTGCCCGGACTCTTCAGGTATGAAACTCTGTCCCCCGCTTCGACCAACAAGAAGGCCCCCCTCGCCTGTAAGCGGAACGGCCGAACCGTCGGACCCGTCTACTTTGCTTCTACAGTAGAAGCAAGAGTAGGCCGGCTATTACTCCTTGAGTCCGTAGGAGAGTAAGGGAGGAGGTATATTAGGTCGAGATCCTGTAGCAGGAGGCGCCCACCTTGGTGCCCACTCCGAGGCAACCGCTCGGGTCGACTTGTCGCCCCACACCGAGCGAGAGCACCGAAGAACGGCGGTGGCCCGGGTCGCACTGTGCCGCGTCCCGAGGCTAAGGCGTCGATGGCGGCAACAACTCCGGGGTCTGCTGTGTCTGCGCCGCCGAGTAGAGCGCCGACAGCGGTGGTCACAAGCTAACGCCGGCCGCTTAGTTGCCTGTACTTCCAGGACAAGGGCTGCCGAATCGAACCGGCGTGTTACGGGCGGTGGCTTGCCCCCATAGCTATCGAAGGACCCGCACAAGGTTCCGGGTTCAAGTCCTGCTCGTCTGACACACTCAGGCAACGGGGCACTCTAGAAATTTTTGGCCGTCGGCGTCTTTCGGCTCGGACGGCTGAGGAGACCACACCTCCCTTGCCTTCTTCCCAGGTAGGAGCAAACGGGCCCCACAGCCGCGCCTACCCTGTTCG